AGTGGTGGTTCTTTTTGCTCTTAATAATAGGCCCAATGTTTAATGCCAAGACTGGAACCAGTTAATTAGACTATTAAAGGCTTAGAGTTTTTGGAGGTTCTCACATCATAACCAGCCAGGGTACCTGCTTATTTGTGAACAACTGCTGTATTTACCAGGTATCTTTAACAATATCAAAAAGTTTGGGTTCAATGAGAAGTTTTTTTTAGAGTAAGCTGAAAGTGCATCACCAGGCTGCTATTTTAGTTTAGACTGGCATTAGCTCATGTTCATCCCTTTGATAGGCTTAGAAGTTACGGTAACTTTGTAGAGCTGCACCGATTACTGGATAGTCACTGGTCTCATTGACTGTTAATTTACATAAAACTGTTGTGCCTGCTCTGACATGATGCTTACAGGTTTAAATACTTTCACGTCGTGAGAAAGAAGGTTTTCACAGGACTCTATGCAGTCCTTTGAAAAATTGTCGTGGAGGACTTTTGGCCCACTCTTCTTTGCAACAGTTAACCAACATTTGCAGCCATTCATTTATATACAGCTCACTTAAGGTCGACCCACAATATTTCAGTCGGGTTGAGGTCTGGACTTTGACTGGGCCACAGGGACAACTTTTCTTTTTTGGCCATTCTGTTATAAATTTGCTGCTGTGCTTGGGACCATTGTTGTGTTGCTTGAGCCAATTTGAGCCAAGCATTTAGCTATCAGACAGATAATCTCACATTTGACTCTAGGTGGTGAGCGAAGCCTGAATGTCTGTGGTCAACTTAATTGCAAGGTCCCCAGGTCCTGTGGCTAGAAAGCGAGCCCAAATCATCACCCGAGGTGTCGACACGAGGTGTTTATCCTGATATGCTGTGTTGAGTTTTCAGCTGAAGTAGTGCTAAGGCTTATGGCCAAACATCTCCACTTGAAGAGAGATATTTGGCACCCCTTTCAAACAAGCCATAGTTGTTCAGTCTTTTTCTAATTGTGTGGTCAGCTTTAGTATTCAGTATGCTGACTGAGGCCTGTAGAGTCTGATATGTGGCTTTTAGGTTCAGAATCAGGATTAAATGGTCTGATCTTCTGGTGAATCTGCTTGTACATCAATCCCTGTAAAGACTGTGGCCTCCTACAGCAGCCTACAGTTATCTATCCTCTTCTATGGAAGCAGTAAGGCTTTACTCAGTTTTTCACAGACCTACATGGAAAACTATAATTTTTACACAACTTCCTTAACCCGTAGGTATTGGTTCAGAATAACAAGGTAAAATGCAATTATTTGGTAAATTGTACAAATTATCCTGATTGCTAATGTCACCGTATTGTCCTAAGTTTGATAAGCAAACAACTACCAAGACTGAAAGTATAGTTTTCCTCGCAAATCTCACATCTGTCCTTTTTCCTGTCAACTACCAAGCATTTTGTTTTTTGTTAGTTGGCAAACAGCTTTTTTTACATTTCGTCCAATCTTCTCGCCCACTCCAAAAATAGCACACTCTTAACAGTGCCGTTGCACTGTGTGATCTAAATGTGTCGAGGGGTCAAAAATAGTAGCATTCAGTTCTGAAATGTTTGTGCTGGCAGAATTCATACAAACTCTTTTATCAGTAAATGTGTGTTTAAGATTTTTAAGAACCCGCAGCCAGCCTATAAACAAGACAAGTAAAAGTAGCCAGTGTACTTATCTTTTCTTGAGACTTTTTTTGAGAATAGACAAAACAATGAAACAGTTTTCATTGTTCTGCTCAGTTTGTAGAGTTCATCACATAGCAAAACAGGGTGAATCTGAAACTGAATAGAAACTTACTACTATCCCAGTACTCTTTGGCCAACCTTGGCGGGGTGGAATAATCAGGGCTATGTAATTCTTTTCAGATAGGTCAAAGCTGTTGTGGTATTCTTTCTCTATCATTGACAGGAACAACCTAAGACCTTGACAGTCTCCACACTGTGAAGGTTTTGACAGTCTGCCTGATTTCACATAGCCTTCTAGGGTTCAATTTTGACCACTTTTGCATACATCTTCCATGTATGCAAAACCTTCCACTCAACTCTGACCCGTCAGAATTTAACATTTTTAAATATTATTTGTTTTTCTCTTGCTGCACTGATCTTTTCTGCTGTGGAACAATCAACTTTTAAGATAACAGTGAGAAAAAAAACTTGTTTGGCTTATAGATGAAATATGAATATCAGAGATGTGCCTCAATCTTTAAATTAAATTAACTAATAAGAAACTGGCCTGAGATGTTTGAAGCAAACATGTCAGAATTTTGTCATCATCAAGTTAGAGACATTTCATTTCTAATGATAAAAGTATTTATCAATTCTTAATGAAAAGTACATGTAAATATGTTTAGAAAGTGGGAGTATTGAAAGTTGCAGGACATTTTCTTAAAAAAGATCAAGTATATGGACATGATATTTTCAAATATGGTCTCAGACAAGGATGACATGTGGAAATGTTTAAAAAAGGAAGGGGCACATGGAGGCTGCTGTGCTTCAGGAGGTAAAATTATGGGTGAATGACGCTTGTAGTATACAGATATATATATTTATTCTTTCTGGATTCTTACAGTGAGTGTATTTTCTAACATACAACAGAACATTTCAACAGGTTTTTTTTTCACGGCACCATTCAAAGAGACCTGGTTGTTAGTCTAGATTCAGGCTGGACAGACTGCTGTGAGGACTGACATGAGGTTTCAACTAAGGAAAATGTTTTATATCAACAAGCCTGTAGGTATAGATGTGTGCTTGTTTATGTGTTTTAAATATTTTGCTGTTGGGAGGATCATACAGGTGTCAGGGAATTGGAAACTTAAAGCCATAAACAAAAATTCTCTCTGCTAACATGCCACAGATGGTACGACATAAACACATGCAAACTCATGCACAGGTTGCATGATGAGAGACTCTAAACAGCAAATTAAAGTTCACATTCATCCGGGAAAACAGCAGAGAGAACAACATGCTTTTCTTCCATCAGTGATATTTTTGGATCAAACAACCAAAATCGTCTCTGAGTCTCTATCCATCACAATGGTGTTATGATTCAAGTTGTGTGGATTTTTTAGGACCAATTGTGTGTTTCTTATTGGTTGACAATGATATTATGACTGAATGGATCCATGCAGACAGAAAATACCTGGAGCAAAAGGACAATGAGGTAATCTCAGCACACGTATGAACGCAGAGCACTTCCAGGGTCATGACCAAACACAAGAACACTCTGTGAGTACTCGACAACAAGCAACACTGTGTTAAAACGAGCTGTTCCTCTCTCAGTCGGTGTTCTGAAGGATCCAAACCAACCTGACATAAGTGCCACTCAACATGCCTGGATGAAGTTTAACTACACTCACATATTTGGCTTAATTGTTCTACACCTACTGTAAATCAGCTGATGAAGCTTGAGGATGTTTTTTCTTAAAGGGTGTCCATCCTCCACAGAACCAACTAGCAGTGGTATAGAAACCCAAACATTCACTTGCCATCACCGGGTAAAGTATTCGTTAGCAACACGAAGTGAGGCAAATGACTGAAGCAGCTATCAGTAGGAAAACCACTGATTTACATGTGACTGAGAAATAAATCCATTAGAGAGTTATCTACCTAAATGATTGTGCACTAGTTACCAACTGTCAGCTACAAAGCAACCCCCACTGAGTGAATCACTTTCTATCTTAATAGGGCTTTGTGTTGGAAAATTAAGATTTTCTGTGGTTGTTTGCAAAGCTAACAATGTGCAGCCCAAGACTGATGATGCCTGAACTAAACTTGAGTTTAGCTTGAACGGAAAGAAGTTAGAAAAAAACAATCAAACACTGGTCAAACATAGCTGGTGAATATAACTGAGACTACCAAAAATCAGTTATTTAAATTTTTCCCTGTCCTAGAGTTTCCATATTTTTATATTTTTTTAGGTTTTTGCAATGCAAACATCTTGGTATTTAACAAATAGTTACCAAGATTTTGAGTTTGAAGAGAATCACGGCTTTACTATTATTCTCAAACACACCAAAGTGGGGGTTTTTTTCATCCACCCAGTATTTACTCAGAAAATACATTCAGAACAGATAATATATTCGATAGACTTACTGGAACACACTTCTACATACAGGGGTGGATGCAGCTACCAGCATCGCCATCACTGGCTGATAAATCATGCAATAAATGACTCTACAATAAATAAATTGTTGTTGCTAAAGTGTTTAGAAAATGTTCAGGACAAACTGTATAAAGTTTGCAGTTGTTGATTCTCCATTCATTCTCTGACTTTAAGCATTACAAACTGCTGCACTGCAGTGCTGATGTACCAACTTCGGACAAATGCTATTGCCTTAGCCAAGGGCAATGACAAAATAATAATAGAAAGGTAAACCAGATTAAGCATGGTGACAGCATGCAAACTGCACAGAAGAGATGTTATGCAGCATTTTTGTCAAATTAAATGGTTACCTAGCACCGTATAGCAAAATTTGAAAAGGACTGGTTCTTGCCCCAAAGCCACTATCAGTAAACAGATAAAACTACATTTGGCACAGAGGAAAAATATTACTTTAACAAGATTTTATGTTTTTTAATTACTGTGCTGCATATGTATTAAAGCAAAGCAATAGTTGTAAAGTATTTGGTCATTTGTGTTTTCCACCTTGGAAACTCAAAAGTACATATTTAAAGGTTCTTAAATATATTTTCAAACCTACCACTCCACCTTTTATGGTTCGTGCATTCAGAAACTTTCAAACCAGCAGAATGATGTGCAGCCACTGAGCAGTTTGACAACAAAGTTCACAAATTACGTGCTCAGTGATTCTGTGAATCACCCACCCCTGAATGACTGTCCAAACAATGGAAACATGTTATGTGTTGTTAGAACATGGGCGCTCTGACACCTACTCAGACCAATGTACATTTCAGGAAAGGAAGGCTTTGCTGCAGTTTTCTTCATTCTTTGATTTTTTTCAGAAATTCTCTTATGTCTCCTGTTAATCGAACAAGCACATCACGGTTACCTGTAAATGACTCCGTGTCGGTGCAGGAACATCAGGGCAGATGTGACCTCGGCGGCGTAAAAACGAGATCGTGCCTCATCGAACTTCCTCGATCGCTGGATCTGAAACATCAGGTCTCCTCCATTAACATATTCCATCACAAAGAACAAGCGGTCCTGCGGGAAGACAGTGAAAAAGAACTTTATTCAGTAACTGTGTAAATATTTCAATTCGAAAATGTCAAAAATATCAACATAACTCACTGATGTTGGTAATTTTGTGAATGAAACATGGCAATAACAGAGCAGCACTTCCTCTTTTAAGATCCTTGATTTTAAGCTAATGCTTTTACATTTATCCATTAACAATAAATAATTTAAACTCATAAATCATATACAGTCATTAAAAAAAATACATTGTATACACTTGCTTTTGAATATTTTCAAAACTTTAGATTAATTGAGTTTTGGGAACTACGCAGAAATCGTTTACAGTTAACTGTTAAATCTTCTGTTACATATTTTTTGGAAACTTAAAAGGAACCTATTATTCTTTTCTTTATATTCTGTCTAATGAAAACCATTACACTGGCGGATGTTCATTTTAAATATGTTTCAAACGTTTCGAATAATGAGGTCGCTGTATGTACGAAGAACCGCTGTAAGCCAAAAGTTCCATTTTCAAACCGTTGTTCTGCTCTTGATTCTATATGATATCCTGGAGTCTCTCATATGATCATCACAGGTACACAGCTCTGGCTGAGCACAGCAGCCCCGCCCACCAGCTGTTCAAACATTCTGTTTTTCACAATTTTTTCATATCACATCTGCCTAAATCAAGACATTAGAAGAAAACAATAAATGGAACACGAACTGTTTATTAATCAGAGAGAAAATCTTAGTTGTAAATTTAACCCATTTTTAAAAACACAAGACACTTTGGATTTTGTCTCAAATTTCCCTGAGTAGAGAAAGAAAAACAATACAGATTGCTATGTGACAACCACTAATTGTCCCTACTTCCATAGAACCCCTTCCTGTGATACACACACATACAGAGGCGAAAAACAACACACACACTGCTGTAGACCACGCCCTCTGAGCCCTATTCTCTTGGTAATGAAAATGGGCTCCGTGGGGAAACAAACGGCCTCCTTCCTGAATTCCAGCTCGCTTTCTTCATATAGGAAATAAGAGAGAGAGAGAGTATGTGCAGTGAGGGTGCTGTGATATAAACAGCTGGGTATATAAGAAACAAGGAGGAGCCCGTCAGAGCCATTGTGTGAGGCCTCAGGGTTCACATCGTTAGCTGTTAAGGTGACACAGAGCTACAGATCTGAAGCTTCTGTGTTTCCACCACATTAAAGGAGACCCCCGGCTGTGAGGCGTATATAGGATTTGTAAAGAGCGACAAAGACTGAATCTGAGACACAGGAAGTATGTAAACAGAATATGTGCACGTGGAAAGGTAAAAAAAAACCAAAACCAATTTATCCTGTAAACTCTGTAGAACAAAGACAAAAGCATTTCTATGTGTGTGTTTCATTACATTGAGAGCAAACAAAGTTCTGTTTCTTGCATGTACCTAAAACTGTGGAGCTAGCTGCACAAACAACCGCAGTTTCCTCTCCAATGCATTTAGCTGTGAATGGGTTTAAGCATGACAATGATTGTGCATGTTCTACCCTTTGTTATTTAAAAAAGACAACAGCAAAGAAGAAGTAGAAATTTTATGATTGTCTCACACCCACTGAGTTCTCCTTATTAGCATTGGAACAGTGATTAAGCACGAACATTGAACATCTTTGGCTTTATACAGCACCTGCTCCATTAACTCATCAGATGCACGTCAAACCTGTCGCCATCTGGATATTTGGGGCATGCTTACCTAAAAAACTGTCTGTATGTTTGGCCATAATGAGTGTTCATAACTGGCCACAGGATACATTAATTCTTAGTCATTGTCTATGTTGCCTGCCTTGCAACACATCTTGAGAGCTTTGGACTGCACTTTAAGAGACAGAGTGTTGAGTTGCTGATCCTGAACTAGTGAAAAATTTTGAAGGTAGTCGTCACTCTAAAAGAAAGACACATCTTGATTTGTTGTTTCGAACATTTCAAAAAGCTGGAACATTTTTCTAATACCTTAAAAAAGCAGTTGGTCTTGGTTTATAGTCTCGGAATAGACAGCGAATGTGACACAATCGACCTGTCAGGTGCAACTCAGTCTTTGCAGGTTTGTAAGCGACTGTAAATGTCTAATGGGCTAAAGTAAACAAATACATAAGGACAACAGACATTTATGAGAGCATCATTAAGCCAGAGAATTGAAAAAGTTTATGGCATAAAAAAGCCTCTTGTTTCTTAAATCTAAAATGAGAGACTAAACAAGTTTTCAGGTTTTTTGACCGCTTTGCCCCAGTTTTCCCAACCCACTTTACAGATGAGGACATAATTATTAGCCTCCAAATATGATTTTTTTAAAAGTATTTCCCAAGCGATGTTAAATAGAGCACAGCTTTTCCAAACATCCTGGTTTTATTTTGGATGCTTACATTTGCACAGAAGCAAAATGAATCTGAGAAAAATCGAAAACTACCAGCGTCAAAATGATTAGGCCCTGTGATACTAATAGACAGTTATGTTGTAGTGCAATCATTTGTTGTAGTCTCACATCCTTCTCTCCCGAGTACTCCCAGACTATTTTGCTCTGGCGAACCTTTCAAACTTCTCTAGATTTGCTGGTCTTCCTGCACAGACCTTGATCTTCAGTTCACCTCAAAAATTTCACTGGGATTCAAGTCGGGGCGTCATGCAGGCCAGTCAGTAACCTTCCTATTAATCTTTTGGAGGCAGATCTTCACCATAATCTTTCTCCAGGTTGTGCTTCACCTTCAGCCTGGTTTGAGGGTGTTTCTTCTGCAGAAGTGAAATTTCTTAGTAAGTGAAAAAATTTGAAGGTAGGCTGTTCTGGGGTCTTTAGATACTTTCTCACTTTGACTTCTTACCTCTGCCAGGCTTGTTCTGTACTGTGTGGCTCTCTTTGAATTTCTCAATGATTCTTCCCACTTGAATTTTAGACACTTGGAAACACTGTGGTAACTTCAATTCAATTCAAAATGTTGGAAATTTATAAAACAGTGCACAGATTTATTTCTCTACTGATAGCAATATTAACCAGATATGGCAATTCCATTTTAACCATTGCAGCTCAAACAAAACAACAGTCTGTCACCAACTGTATGCTTCCTTTCTACCAATATACATTAACCTTCCTCTGGTTCCCCTTTTTTAAAATAAAAAATACAAATAATTTATATTTCAAGTGCTAAGCTTCCCAAGGGTGAGGGTCGTTGCTAGATGGAGAAACTACCTGTTTCTCAAATTTTTATCTTGATCACAACTTTTGACTTTCCACAGTTAAATGGGGAAAAATGGGGAACAAAAAAATCAGTACCCATTGATGAACCTGCTTGTGCCAATCCCAGTGCCATACACCACCATTTCTTCCTGTTAAAAGGGAGTTTTCCTTCCCATTGTGGCCCATTGCTTGCTCATTAGGGAATCATACAATTATTAGGTGTTCTTTCTAATCTTGTAGCATCTTATGATGTAAAGTGCCTTGCGCTGACATATACTGTAAATTTGTGCTATATTTTATTAAAAGCTGAACTGAATTAAATTTAACTGAATGCAGTTACACAGCTTGAAAGACTTGATTGTTCTTTAATGAGAGTCGCTGAATCTAGACGACAAAGAAGTCCAATTTTGTTCGGATGCAAAAATTGTACATTAGCAGGTATTTTGCAGATGACTGCGAACTTTTCTTCTTCTCATATACAGATACTTCATAAGACCATTTTAACCCTTTCATGCATGAATTATGACAACCTAAATCAGGATTTTTTTTTTCTTAAGTATTTTTATTCATCTTCAGGCATGAAAAAAAGATTTTTGAACTTCATTTTTTTAAACATGAGTTTTTTTTACATATCTGAATTATGAATTTGGTATGGAGGGACACATCACTGTCCAATGTACTGGTTGATGTGCAAGTATACAATCAACACTGGCACAAATGCAAGAAAACAGCCTTTGAATAGCCACTGTAGTGACCACTATGCGTGAAAGAGTTAATGTGCTATCATTATTTCCAGTAGGCAGGTTAGTATAACAGATACGATGGAACTCCTTCGACTTCAAAACAGTTTGCAGTTGTGTAGCAACTATATGAAGTCTACAAGAGCTAAAATATTACGCTCTATATGAAATATGTCAACGCTGACCATATCTAAGGGTATGATAAGGGTACCAGATGTTAGTAAATATTATGGTCTGCTGACCTGCTGAGATTGCAGTTTAAATGATTAAATTGGATATAGACTTAATTAAACAACATTTGAAAATCATGTCTTCTTAGCTTACCAACCTCTGTCCCTATGTAGATGCTATACCTTATTTTGTGTTGTGTTGTGTAGCACTGCCTAACAAGTCTAAAACTGATTGTAAGCAGGTACAAAGTCCATTAAAATGTGATGCAAAAGGGTCCTGACTAGCAGTGGGTATATGTTACTATACTAATACACTTTTAAATCCTTTTTAACTGCCATGAAATCAGGATTGCTACTGAGTTTTAGGGACCTTCCACAATGAAGCGTTATACTGTCTGTAGAGTATTGTTGCTTTTCTTTAGTTGGATCGGAACTGATTAAAAAAATTAATTTGGCCATTCACCAAAACATGTCACATTCATGCCATGTATATTTAAAGCCAACCTTGGGCTCTTTTCTCCCCTCTGTTATCAGTTTAAAGAGGCCTCAAAATTTCGTGTTACATAAGTGGCCGATAGTCCACCTCAGAGAGAATTTCTTCCCTCCCTCCACTCCTCCTGAAAGCGACTTTAAACAGGATGTTGAAATAGTTTGTTTAAATGTACCCAAAGTCCCAGCTGGTCCCACCCAATCAAACATGAATAAACATTTCCTGACTGTAATTACAAATGTACAGATACTGGCTTCCCATTTCTGACACACGGGCGCGCACACATAGACACACACACACACACACACACACACACACACACACA